GGGGGGGGGTTGTGTGGAAATGGTCCGCTTCTGTCGCTGTGGCACCTCAGGGGTCGCCTGGCAGAAGGCATGCACCGGCGACGAGCTACTCTACCAAGTGTGTGGCATTCGAAATAGTACTTGGAAGTCCGTTCCAGAAACTCACACATACTAAAGTGTGTGACCATCATTGTGTCATGCGCATAGATATGTCATGACTGGTGTGCAAACTGTATAACGTGTGGCATTTTCTTCTAAGTGTTCCGAATGATGTCACACACTTCTGTTTGTAGAGAATACTCTCCGGCGCGTCTCTTTCGCAGCTTGTTAATTTATCTCTGGACGCAGAGACAAGCGTCACAGAGTCTGCCGCGCTGATCCTACCCCGGGGGGCCTCGCCCGCGCGTCCCCCCTCGGCGCGACCCTGGGTTCAAATCCCGCCGCTGTCGGAGGCCTTCTAAACCCGTTCCGTCTTGGGATTAACCTCTCCTCCAACTTCTCCCCTTTCTTAATCTACTTACCACGCCCTCGTCTCCACGGCTGCCGCCGAGGCCCCCGCCGAGGCTCCCGCTCTCGGACACTTCGACCTCGGCGCGCCGCCCTGCTGGGCCTCGCCTCGAAGAGTGACGCGGGATGAAAAATTAATGTGGACGAGCGTGTGGACGAGAAACTCGGCGTTACGACGGCCGTCCTGACACCGCGGCGGCCCGTCGGACTGAGTTATTACACCGAGACGGCCGACTCTGTCGTAAACGCACCGCGAGGATCATCCGCAGAGGAACATACCGCGCGACACTGTAGGGGGTACGAAAACCATGGGAGTCACAAAAGGGTCGTCGTCGAGGTCCAACTGGGACCCAATGATATTTGTACCCCGAGGGTACAAATACCATGGGGGACCCGAAGATGATTAGGATCATCGTTGGAGACCATAGGGACCCATGATATTTGTACCTACGGACACCAATGGTACAGGTGCCCATAATTTTTGTATCGCCCTTTACAGTGACGTAGCGCATGCCATGTGCCTGTGTGAAGTCGTTGCCTTCTCTACGCTGACCCCTCTCATGGACGCCTGCAGGGTAGAGGATAGGCAGGCGGCTCCACACCCGTGGGCAGCCGTTGCCTACCTCACGGGCGGCCCGGCCGCCTGCAGAGCGGTGGGTAGGCAACACACCGGGCGGGCGGGCGTCGTCGTGGCCTACCCTCACAGGCGCCCGCCCCCCGCACGGGCTATAAGCACCTCCATTTCCCCTCTGGGCACTACGTCATTTCTCTCCGCCCGCCTCACGACCCCACCCCGCCCTATA